TCACTTAAATATGCTTCTACCGTTAACACAAGGAATTTCAATGAGAGGAGGATGATATGTACTCTTATTACGTTATGAACAGAAAACGGCATACAGAATACTTGTAAGCCCACACTTCCTACGAATTGTGTCACAATGAACTTTCGCGTCCCATAAAACGATGGAAATTTTTTGAGTGGATGAAGAACTGTTGGCTTCTCAAGAAGGGCTCGGATCCATGGAGTGAGTTGCTTAGTTAGGTAACTAGTTGTTAACGTCATCCCTGTAAATGGCCATAAGGCCCATAGGGTTTGTGAGACGTAGAGGCTCCCATATTTTCTCTAGACAGTCGGTTCACAAATGGCGGTAAGTCTGTCAGCCTTAAGCGCCGGTCGTCCTTTACCCCCGAAGAAGATTCCTGCTGTTCATTTCTGTTAAAGGTTGAGTCTATCCCAGTGCCATAGTGCGGCTGGAAGGAGTAGATCAACTGAAAAAAAAAATCCACCATAACGGGAATGGAATCCGCGACCTTCCGTCTTATAGCATAGTGCCTCAACCAACTACGCTACTGGGTGCCCCCGGTAACTAGTTATAACAATCTTAGAAACCTTAATAGGATATGCTAAACAATTTTGATATTTCACTACAGCAGGAGTGATAATTTGGAAGGTACAGTTATCTGCAATTCTGTCATCATGTGATAATCAAACAAAAGTTCCGTTTCGCTGCAAAATAATTACTGTTGAATGCAGGGCGCACAAACTTTGTCCACTTTCCAATATTACATCCTCCTCCGTTCATTTGTGTACATAACTTCGTAAAGAGTTTAGCACGTTTCCTTCGTTGGTGAATTGCAGCCTCCAAGGCATTCTTTGACTCACTGATATTGGCTTTCATCTCTGCGAACACCCAGGGGGTAACAGGAGATGTCACATAACTATGGGCGCGTCTCAATACATTCTTCACTAAAAGTTCCCTCGAGAGCAGAATCCTTAGCAAAAATAGGACAGCTTAATATCACCTTCATACTGTAACTGACAGTCGAGGGGAGTTAAGCCTTAAGCCGGGAGCAGGAAATATATGGAAACATTGTGACAGAATCGACAACTTCTGGTGAGGACATTCTCTAACAGCAAGAGAGCGGAACTGATTTTTAGAAGTAAAGCAAATAAAGCAAATGCGGTAACAGATTTGTTCTGGGGGAAGTCAGTTTTCCAAGCGGATACAACCAGTGTTTCCATGCCTGGCGGGGGAAGGGGGAAGGAAATTCGCTTACAAATTTGCGTTTAAGTCATTTAAGACTCTCTTTACCGATCGCCCTATAGTATCCGGGCAGAAGAATATTTATAATACCTCTACTCTTATTATCAATACAGTATTCTTATTTTAATTTGATTTTTTTAACCTAAGAGATGGCAGATGTCTGGTTTGTATTCACGCCTGCGGCGACTATGCTTACAAGCCAATTACCACATGCGTTACTCAAGACTGGCGTGGAGTATGTACTGAAGATTTAAAACGTCGCAACATTCAGTACTAATACAAAACATAAAACTCACCACAGCCGCACACTTGAATCTGCAAATGGCATTTCTTTTATGTTATTTATGAAAGTTGTTCTAATAATGGACTTCCTTATATGACAAATTATGGTAGTTTAAAGCAACATAAATGTGGCATAATACTGGACTGTACAAGACTATGTACGCGGTGTGCTGATAGTACAACGGAGGTTAAAAGAAATTCCGTGTTTATTTCAGCTCTGTAAAAACAGTAGAACTATTTTCCTCTTCATGTACTCCGGTGAGAAATTTCAGGATTAAATGTAACGAAACTGAAAATTCGAAAATCAGTTAAGTGAACGATATCATGTAGGAGAATATACAAGTTTACGAAACATTTCGAAGATAATTCTCGAATGCAACGGAAACTTGCAAGTTCTTGAAACAATTTCGAGATATGACACACTACGTGACGTGAAACTGTGATATATATTAAATGCACAAATAAATTCACAAGCTCGAAACTGGTTATATTTGAAATGTTTCGACTTATGCACAAACTCATACAGTAAATTTCGTTTCGTTTTACAGAGAGTGGTGCCAGTCGCACACTAGGCACCGGACAAGTACCTACCATTTACTAACATACCCACAAAATACAGATCCTTCGCCTTTCCAACCGACCACTCTCTGGCAGAATACAAAAAATATATTATTATGTCAAATGTTAACGTGATTTAAAAACTGTTATAAATAGCTGTAGAACCTCAAATTCGGAGTAACTCCCTGTAATTATGTAGCTTTCACGGCGCCCTTAAATGGTAGCATTCCTCTCACTACTACTCGAGTCACTTCGTAGCATAATGTCTCCACCGCAGCCTTTACCTACATTATGGAACTAGATAACTTCCAGCAAAATTTTGTTTAGTGCAACCATATATGTCACAAATGAACAAGAAATCTGAGTTAATTAATAGATGTTTCAAGACGTTTTAAATTTTCTTTCCTATTACACATTTATTGACCGCCTCTGTGGTCTAATGGTCAGAGTTCCCCGGCTACAGAACCAGAGGTCTGGGTTCAATTCTCGGCGCTACCAGATTTTCTGAGAAGTATTGGGTTATGAACGCTGTGCACTCAGCCTCGTGAGGATAATTGAAGAGCTATATCTACGAAATAGCGGCTCCGGTCTAGAAACCCAAGATTAACGGACGCGGGGAGCCGTTGCGCTGACCACGCGACATCCTCTATGCGCTAAAATTGGCACTAACTTCGCCGACAAGCGGCGGTCCCTCGGTCGGTATAGGTCGTTTGCGGACTAAAACCAAGGAGTTTGTTTTTTATTACACATTTATTATCTAGAATGAAACATACTGTATTAAGCACAGGAAGTCCGCGTTAGCAATTGCTGCGAAATTTGTGTTAAGCAAACGTCGATCTAATCAATAATTGAACGAGGTCTACAAAAACTGAGATCACGTTTTACAGAATTCATGCAAATAAGTGATTCTCAGCTGTAGCCTCAGTCATTCAGTGTTGATTTCCTTCTCAGTTTATTCAACGACACTCTCTGAATTACATATGTTACATGGCGTAGAATGGTGCACTGACAGCAGAAGACAAATTTAAAAGGAAAGTGTCGCAGCTTATTCGATGGTTCATTTCAGCTTCTACGTGTGGGAACGGAGATTTATGTATGTTCTGCAAGTTTTTCGCCCTAAGACGCATGAATTTTAAGCATTCAAGAATGAAAACAAATTTAATAATTCTATAATGTTTGTGACGATTACCTCTTCACTAAGTAAATGTTATGCCGGACACTGCTCACTGCAGTACGGCGACGGAGGCTAGCCCTTTCTAACGGTCCCATCTGAGTTGTATTTTTTCCCATCTGGTGACGGAAAAACGGATCACTTTTCGAAACGTCGTATATGTTAAACAGGCTCCAGATACTGGATGGTGTCCAATAAAATATTCGTATAATAAAAATACATTTAATTCATTAAAATAATATTCACTTCATTCATTCAAATAAAATGGCGCCGATAATGAGAACGAGCATTTAACCTTTCAGAATGGAAGTTTCACTTGGGCACAGCACAAACTGGGGCACCAGCGACAGGTAAGCTACTTAGTTGCTGTACGGACACGTACACAACGTCGGCAAAGTTGTGTTCAGACAAAGTACTTGCTTTAGCAAAACGAAATGTACAAGTCAAAGCCCACCACATGTGGACATAACCGATGTCATGAAAGAAATAAACAACCTTTATTCGACCAAGTAACTAACCACTTCCTATATTTATTTAATTTTGATATATCCTATTAGAATACGGCGCAATTAGACTAAAAAGAAGAGTTCTATCTTCTGGGATACAACGCCGCACAGTCCGTTGAAAATCAACCGATGTTTCGAAGAAATTCTCTACTTATCACCAGCTTCAAGCTGATTTCTTGTTTGGTTTACTGGTCGGCCCTGAAGATGGATGCAACATGTTCCTCAGTAACATTTGTTGAATTTCAACAGACTACATGCAGTTATGCCGGTTACGGTAGCCGAGCGGTCTAAGGCATGCACTGTCTTCGCTCGTTCGGAAGCCGTGATCGTGGGTTCGAATCCCACTCAGGGCATGGATATTTGTGTGCGTTTTTCTGTGTTTGTGTACAGGTAGAGGTATTGCGACGAGCTGATCACCCGCCCAAGGAGTCCTACCGAATGTGTATGATCTAGAAAAACCGAAGTGAATGGAGGTAGGCCTAGGCCCACTGGGGCTGTAGTGCCAAGGGGGGGGACATGCAGTTATATCCTACAATACAGAACTCTTCATAACCACCGCCGTGGAATTTTTAAAATAAACTAAGAAGAAATTTTCTATGAGCCGAGACATTAAAGAAAATTGAATCACTTACTCCTAGGTAATGGGCATATTTTTATAAGCTTTCCTTCCTGCTTTGTACGGGTCAAGCTAATTTGCCTTGACATAATTAATAGGTACAAATCTAATGATGCGAGCTAACTGCACTTCAGACATCACACAACAGATTCAGATATTACTCTCAAAAGCATTTCGTTAAATGTTAGTAAGAAAAAAAAATGTTTCAAATAAATGCTGTGGATCTCATTATTAGAGCTGGTAGTTTATGTTGCACGCAAAATTTCGGCCGACAGACCATTATGAGGAAACGTAATCAAATGAATTTTGTTCCAAAATTAAATTCGCCACACAAGTTAGACCCACCCCTAACATCGACGACATCAGCACAGTGTGCAGAATACACACGTGGGCGCGAAGATACTGTCATTTCATTATGCTTTCATTTTACGCATATTGTGCAATGGCACTTACAAATGTTGAAATGCTAAATTATAATGACCTACACTGTTTGTAAATTGGCTGTGGTTTTCTATATGTGTGCATTTCTACAGCTGCCTACGGCAGTGAACAACAAACGTGTGGCAACACAGATTTACATGGTTATCAGTGAACTGACGTAACATAAATATGAATCTCAACTCACCTTCTGAGGACCTTAATTTCATTCTCTAAGGAGTCTTCCTTTCCTTTGAGCGCCTTCTTGTCGATGATTTTCACAGCAAACATGAGGCCAGGCTTCTCCTTGCTCTCGGCCAGACGCACCTCAGAAAAGGCACCGCTGAAACAATCCCCAAAACAGTCTCTGTTAGCGCCAAAATATGTTTACGGAGACTTTCTGGTGAAGAGGAGCAGCACAGACCGTGAGGAATTGCACTGGTTACTCATTCAAATTTTATGTCATGGTAGAATGTAATTTTGCTACCATTCAGTCTTCTCGTCTGCTGTCCAAGAACATAAAAATTAGAATATACAAAACTATAATTTTGCTGTGGTTCTGTATGGGTGTGAAACTTGGTCTCTCACATTAAGGAAGGAACAGAGACCGAGGATGTTTCAGAACAGGGTATTGAGGAGAATATTTGGACCGAAGAGAGATGAAGTGACGGGAGGTTGGAGAAAACTGCACAACAAGGAGATCCATAACTTGTACTCTTCTCCAAGTACAATTAGAATGATCAAGTCAAGGAGAATGTGGTGGGCAGGGCATGTAGCACGAATGAGGAAGACGAGGAATGCGTATAGGATATTGGTGGGAAATCCAGAAGGAAAGAGACCACTGGGAAGACCAAGGCGTATGTGGGTGGACAATATTAAAATTGATCTTAGAGAGAGAGGATGGGATGGATTAGATTGGATAGATCTGGCTCAGGATATGGACTATTAGAGGGTTCTTGTGAACACAGTAAGAACCTTCAGATTCCATAAAATGCTGGGAAATCCTTGAGTAGCTGCAGAATTGGCAGCTCCTCCAGAAGGGCTCAGCTCCATGATTAAGTTAGTAAGAATATAATCTTAAAAATTCGGACATTTTTGACAGGTCACATTCGAACGTACATTATATTTCGAGATCAAGGCGAGTATCACATCGGTAGAGCAATAGTCACATCATTCTACTATCGGATTATGCGGCATTAGAGCTACAAAAATTCAACTGCTGAAACGGAATGTGAACATACGATATTAAATTAAACTGGCTGAGGAGAAAATCTAAAGTTGGTAAAAAAAGGTTAAAAAAAAAGGTAACGTAACTAATTAAACACTATGCACCTGGCACTAGTTGGAGATGAGTGGTCAGTTTCATGCCCCGGTCGCTTTAACCCCGGCGAAAGAGCCCACGGTCCCATTGTATACGAGGTTGGGTGGATCCCAGAGCCGGTCTGGACGATTGAAGAAGTGGAAATTCTTTACTCTATCGGGACTCGAACAGTCCAGTCCGTAGGCAGTCGCTATACCGACTACGCTATCCCGGCTCCAAATCTAAAGTGGGCTTTCGAAAAACAGTGATAAAAAATTCCGGTTCCGATGAGCAGGAAATTTCTTGTAGGATCTGAGGCTGAAGTTTTATCTTCTGTAACGTAACGACATGCAGCCCGTTGAAAGTAATCTGACGTTTCAGTGGAACATGTCGCCCCCATCTTCAGGGTCGAAGAATAAGCCAAGCAAGAAACCAGCGTGAAGCAGGTGGTAGGCACAGTCCGCCACCTGCAGATTTATTGATGATCACCTGAATAAGTACCCATGAGAAACCACTTAACCACGGGCTCATTATCAAGTGTTTTATTACTAAAATTGACATGTTTCAGCGTGATATCATTTCTAAATAGTTGTTACTGATAAATTCGAATTTTACTTCGGAGCTTCATTAAATGTCACCTACATAAACTGCAACAGTAATAAAACAAATGTCCCTTACTGTGAAAAATAGAAATATTTGAACTTATTTTTTAATACATATTAGTTTTCATATAGGTCGAAAAGACTTGACATCTTGCAGCCTTCCTCGCAGTTCAATAATTTTATTCTACATTTAGGTATAAACTGTAATGGCGTGTGAAATTCAAGATTCGCTAAATTAGGCTCAATGTTCTTGTAACAGTAACAAATCAACAGGGTACACATATGCTTATACGTACAAAGTCATAAATTTACAAACGACAGATCAAATCTGGTATCCCTGAAAGTGGAAAATCTAGAACTTACCTCAATTAGAGCTGCAAAATGATTAAAATATCTAAACGAATAACCGTCTATCGATTAATCTGTAAATTAATAAAAAAAAAGGAACGCATTTTGTCGTGAAGTACAATACTCGAAAGTAATTTATTATTAAATGAATAATAGCCATGACAATTGAAATATGAAACTAGAAAGATGTGTCTGACAACAATTCTCTCCAATTTTTCAAAACAGACAAAGATTGATGGACAGAACTGCCGAACGTAAGTAGAGACTTGGCCTAAAAATGTGAAACTAATACCTGACAACAGTAAGAGAGACGTTATACGTAAACAGCTGATTATCTGGCGCTAAAATCCATATCCGTATGCTTGAAATCATAATATTTGGTCATACTTCAACAATTTCATAGATTAAGAAAATGAATTATAGAATTGATCAATTAATCGAAGAGGTTTATCAAGTAATTGTGATAGCCCCAATTTTAATTAAAGTCGTCCATTCTGGATGACAATGGAAGAGAATTAAGACTCACTAAAATAATCCATCGCCGGTCACGGTAGCCGAGCGGTCTAAGGTATGCACTGTCTTCGCTCGCTCGGAAGCCGGGATCGTGGGTTCGAATCCCACTCAGGGCATGGATGTTTGTGTGCGTTTTTCTGTGTTCTGTCTACAGGTAGAGGCCTTGCGACGAGCTGATCACTCGCCCAAGGAGTCCTACCGTATGTGTAAGATCGAGAAAAACCGAAGTGAACGGAGTTCATGGAGAGAGGCCTAGGCCCACTGCGGCTGTAGTGCCCATTAAAAAAAATAATCCATCTTCAGTTAGGGTGGTTCATTTTGTGGTCTGTGTAGTTTGAGCGTCTGTAAAACTATAAGAGAATTCCTTCGTAATCTCACACACGAGTTAGGTTTTGTGTGTCCGTACGCCGAGTAACATACGGATATCAAAATTATTGACTTCGACCCCTCCATGATGGGTCGTGTTTCAAGAACTTCATTATTGCTAGTAGTGTGTTCCGTGCGAAACTCATGTTTCAAAATTGTTCCTCAGGGTGATGTCTGAAGAAATACGTCACAGTTATGTTTTTAAATTTGCCTTTCACAGTAACATTAAACCAAGCCAGTTGGATCAAGCACACAACCTGTTCGAAACCAGGCCGGGACATCAGGAATTATCGTTATTTTCCTCAGCCTCTCCAAGAAAATGCCAGGATAGTATCTCAACTAGGCCACGATTGCCTCTTTCCAGAGTCTTTCCAGTTCACTTTTCACCATCAACCTCCTAGTCGATGCTATACAGTCGAAACTACAGAGTTTCGTTATATAGACCATAAATATAAAAAAAAAAATACTGTGATATGACGCCTGAAAGCCGGAATAGCGGAGCCAGAGCGGAAGACTATTGCTAGCCAACGGCTTGACGAACACACGTTCCCGCAGCAACGAAGAGAGCTAAAGACCACTGAGAGCGAGCGGCTCGCCAAACACACGTTCCATCAGCAAATAACAAGTCCATTGCTAGCCAACGGTTCAGTAAGCACGTTTCCGTGATAACAGACATTTTCCGTGGATACCGGTAACCTATATAAGGAGCCGTGCAGAGAAAAACGATTCAGTCGTAAGGGAGCCGTCATTCGAGAGTTCAGTTCATTTCAAGTCAGTCATACGTGTAGTTCATTCGCCTGAGAATTCAGAAGGCAGCTCAATAGTTCAGCTGTGAAGAGTTAATCAGCTAAGATTCGTTACCAAGCAACGACTAGCGAAAGCAGACATTCAAGATTTTATTTTATGTAAGATTTGAGGCTTTCACGGCGGTGACTATGAAGAAAGCAGTCTTCTGGGATTTGGCGCCGTGTATATGTGGTGTTAACCGACGTTTCGGCCGAACGTATCGCCCCCATCTTCAGGGTTGAAGAAAAAGTATAGGTAAATCTGCAAGCGACAACACCGTGAGACACGGTAAAGCAGACTGATTTACCGTGTCTCACGGTGTTGTCGCTTGCAGATTTACCTATACTTTTTCTTCAACCCTGAAGATGGGGGCGATACGTTCCTCCGAAACGTCGGTTAACACCACATATACACGGCGCCAAATCTCAGAAGACTGCTTTCTTCAAGATTTTATTTTGTGTGCTGCAGTTACAGTAATCTTTAGTGTGTGTAAAGCAGTGAGACTATTATAATTATTTGTAGTTATGACCCATGAATGTTCAGTAAATCTATTCACCAGTCGAAACTGCGTTACTAAAACACGTGACAATATGTCACCAGACTGGATTTATTATAATCCCTTTTGTGAACGTGGCAACAACTTATTTATGTCACAGTTAAATCGATTTTGCAAGAAACGTACTTCCTCAGCGCGCTCGTCCAACACTGAAACTACCCTGAAGCTGCCGTTTTTAATTTATACATGATCTCCAATTCGAAACTGTTTTGAAAAGATGAAGCAACAAGGATATATAAAAAAACTATTTCTTGAAAGCTGGTTCTCAACAAGGAGAGTTTTTGTTTGAAAGACTTCATTTCAGAATACAGATCATAAATCAGGGCATGTTTTTCTTTTTCTCGCAGCCTTATATTAAAATTATGTGTTTAGTCAAGCCAGATGGAAAAGCCAGCTTCCATACAAATTCACGGTCGAAAAGGAGGGCGAGCAAATTCATTTCTATCCGAAGGTCACAAAATCTCGTCAGTAACTTAATCCGACTTAACCATCCGACGCAGAACATCAGAATACTCGGCTTAAGTCTCTCTTAAGAAAGCACGGAACCGAAAATGATGTAGCTCGTGGGAACGAATAAAATCTACCGCTGAAACAACATAGTCCATAACGCAAGAAGGAGCCAACGATTTTCCACAAAGCGCCTGCTGATGAATAATACAATGAACAACCATGGGTCTGGGATAGCTTGCAATTTTAGCTGCATTTTAATTTTAGCGTCCTTCTAATTCACTATACAGAGTGATTTTAAATCAGTGTCGGGGTTTCCGTGACCTATAATTTTCAAACCTGATAAAATAAAATAAAACTGCTTATGGAATATGAAAGTATAAAGAAAGCAGTCTTCTGGGATTTGGCACCGTGTATATGTGGTG